CAGCCCAACAGAGGCCTCAGGCTCCCATGCCCTCCCCCCAGCTGTGCTCCAGAGGCCTGTGCCCCCTTCCCCTCTGTTCTCCAGGCACAGCAGGCAGCCTGCAGCAGCAGCTGCTTCACAGGTGGAGGGGGCACGGGCCCCCAGGACCCCTGCTTGGCTGCGCCCAATGGCAGAAGCACCACCCCCAAGGGCCCCTGGGTGGCAGAGAGTCCCAGACCCATCCGGGCCTGGGCCCAACGCCACGAGTCCCTGCTGCTGAGCTGAGCCACATGTGGCCAGCTGCAGCAGGGCTCTAGGCACAGCAGCAGCCGCCTCTGCTGCCTCTGTCCCCACAGAGATACGACGGGAGCCCCCCGTGCACCTGGAGGAGCCCCCTTGGGGTTCCCCTCTTCCCACCACCCAATGGGGCTGGGGCCCGACTTACCTTCCCCTGCTCCTGGCTGAGCCGCAGTTCAGTTCCTCACCATGGGGGCCTCGATATGGCTCCCACCCCTTCCCTCCCCCACAGATTGTCCTGCTGAGGCTGGGGGTGGTGGGTGCATGCATGCGCATGTTCCCAGTTGCCCTCCCAGCCCAGGATCAACCTATAGAGGCTTGGGGATTGACCGGTTGATCGTGATCCCTGGGTTGGTGACCACTGCTTTAGGACATTAAATCCCATCTCCAAAACAAAAATGTTATTGAGAAGAGCAAATTAATAAAGTTCTTTCACTCAGAATAAGAGAGTTCACCCTTTTTAAACTGATTTGCATGCTGATGCCAACAGTAGAAAAAAAGCACTTTATGATGGAAATGAAATCAATACTGTTCATTTGCTAATGTTATAATAACACTCTCCTTCTCCTCCCCACAAAATACTTTTCAACTCATAGGAAACTTTTGGGTTTTTTTTAAAAAAAAAAAGCACCACAGAGGTCATGTGTACATCAGGGCCCAGGAGAGCAGCTGTTGTTACGTCTCAGCTCTGTATTCTTGGGCAACCCTGGTACAGGATGCAGTCTGTCTGACTAACAAAGGACTCACCCCCCCTCCCTCCCCTCCTCTACCTAAATGAAACTGATTAAGATGCAGTGAGAGACGCACCTAAGACCCTCACCAGATAAGGGTGATAAGAGTGAAACAACTGCCCTAGGTCTCATTTACATCCAAGATGGAACCAGATGACCATTCATTTACATGAGAGATGGAAAACAGAAAGCCTGAAGCAGAGACTGCAGTGAATTCTGGGACCAGAGAAGCAGGAGAGCGCTGCATGATGGGGAATCTGTGCTTCCAATGTTAATCAACCCATGTTCACACACACCCAACTCAGCATTTATCAGACCAGTTCTAATCTGGATTTGCTGAGAACTTTCCCCCCCCCAGACACACACACACAGCTCTAAGTTTAATAGGCATCTCGGGCTGTACATTCCCCGGTCCCACTATGGGAGGCCTATTTAAACTTGATTGACTAAAACTTGGTTGCCGGGTTAGGGAATGCTGAGGCAAGAGACCTAGTCAGAGGGGGTATGGGCAACATTTGAACAATGGTTAAGGGTTCATCACAGCATCCAGCCTGCTGGAGCCCTAATCCCATGTGTTGTCATATCTTTCCCGAGATGACTGGTAGAAGTCCTCTCCACAAAAGGTTATGAGCACCCCAATAATTGCTTTAAGTCTGTTAAAAAACTATAGTAAGATCTGGAAAAGTCATGCTAAGCTGAGGCTTGTGCACAACAAGTAAAAATCCAAAATCCTGATGCTGCAAGCTATCTATTGTTCCTGAAGAAACCATGAGATATCCCATCAGTATATCTGCCACCCATAGGAATTTCAAGCTGGCTCCCAAGTATTTGGGTTACTCCCTAATCTTAAGTGTTTCCTGATTATCAATCAGTTTCCTGAGATGGTCCAAACCAGATAACCCCTTGTCAATAGAAAAGACAATGATTTACACTACTGAGGGTGCTTCGAAGCAGCTAAACTGAGGGTATAAAAATCTGTAAGTGTGTGTGCTGCAAGAAAAAGAAGAAGTAGAAGCAGGAGGAAAGAAGGAGAAGAAGAAAACCCCTGTGCTGACACCATCCCCTGTCGTTCTTG